ATCTCTAGTCCAAAGGTAAATAAAATGTTCAAAAAAACATCTTTAAAAAGCAGAAACTTTACTCTTCTAAAAGGAGTTTCAGATTTAATACATTATTAAGACAAAGGCTTTTTACCAAATGAAATCAGGTTCAAACTGATTAGTAAAAATAACATTAATCTTGTTTATCTTTTTAAACCAACATGTTTCATCATTTTAGGACTTTAATTTACCTGAACTACAGACTCCAGCCTCTAAACTGAGTTCTTTGATGTCCCATAGTTTAACCCCATAATCCCAGCACCCCCTTTCAAGGTGCACTTTGCAACATTAATTAGCTTGTAGCTGACTAACTCTGAGACTGACACACTTATATATGTCCCAAATCTTCATCTGAGACTCCTCTATAGATGATCTACTTCATTCTAATATCCATTGACCATAGCTCTAACACTGTGCCAAAAACAGTTGGAGTTTTGGTGGGCCTGGTTTCAACAACACACGTAGCAGGGCTGATTGATGCATTGCTAATGAAAACCAACAAGACGCTGAATTAGCTAAACTCTGTAACCATAATGTTATAGTTGGACTTTATTATGTTTATTCCCTTCATTATAGAAAAAGTAAGAAATTGTGAATGCAAACATCTTTTTTGTTTTGTCAGGGCAACATTCTTCTTTTGGCAATTCAAATCTAATTTACCCAGGCAAAAAATAATTAACTTTTAAATGTTCAGATCCACATATTCACCCAGGACCTGAATATTTACCAGTTTTACAATATATCACTTTATGTGTTCTACTTTCTATGTAAACAGAGCTGTCAATCAATGGCTTTCTCAAAACTTTGCTGGAAAAAAAGACCATTAACCTGTGTGTTTCTCATGTAATGAGGTGAAGGAGTTTCTAGATGGACATTTAATCACCAGTTAATCATGAAAAAACACCTCTACTGTTCATTCCCATGGCATTGAACTGCTGGGACTTAAGTGAAACAATGTTTAAAAAAATATATATATCATTCCACATTATGCATGACTATAGGTAATTTGAATACTGACATTACCTTCTAGGTTTCTCACCTGTGTGAATTCTGATGTGTTTAGTAAAACTACTCTTTTGAGTAAAATTATCTTTACAAATGGTACTGGAAAAAGGTTTCTCTCCTGTGTGAATTCTCATGTGTCTAACCAAATGTGTCTTGTCAGAAAAATTCTCGTTACAAATGGTGCAGGAAAAAGGCTTTACACTTGTATGAATTCTCATGTGAGAAGTTAAATGACCTTTTTCAGTGAAATTCTTGTTACAAATTGTACAGGAAAAAGGCTTCTCACCTGTGTGAATTCTAATGTGTGAATCAAGATGAGATTTCTGAGTGAAGCTTTTTTCACAGGACAGACATTCAAAAGGTTTCTCACCTGTGTGAATTCTCATGTGTTTAGTCAAACTGCTCTTTTGAGTAAAATTCTCGTTACAAATGGTACAGGAAAAAGGTTTCTCTCCTGTATGAATTCTCATGTGTCTAGTCAAATTACTCTTTTGAGTGAAATTCTCATTACAGATGGTACAAGAAAAAGGTTTCTCACCAGTATGAAATCTCAGGTGTCTAGTTAAATTACTCTTTTGAGTAAAATTGTCATTACAAATTGTACAGGAAAAAGGTTTCTCACCAGTGTGAGTTCTGATGTGTGTATCAAGATGAGATTTCAGAGTGAAGCTTTTTCCACAGGAAAGACATTCAAAAGGTTTCTCACCTGTATGAATTCTGATGTGTTTATTCACACTACTCTTGTGAGCAAAATTCTCATTACAAATGGTACAGGAAAATGGTTTCTCACCTGTGTGAGTTCTCCTGTGTGAAGTCGAATGACTCTGGTCAGTAAACTCTTTATTACAAATGGTTGAGGAAAAAGGTTTCTCACCTGTATGAATTCTCATGTGAGAAGTGAAATTACTCTTGTCAGTAAAATTCTCTTTACAAATGTTACAGGAAAAAGGTTTCTCACCTGTGTGAATTCTGATGTGCGTATCAAGATTAGATTTTTGAGTGAAACTTTTTCCACAGGACAGACATTCAAAAGGCTTCTCACCCGTGTGAATTCTAATGTGTCTAGTCAAATTACTTTTTTGAGTAAAATTCTCTTTACAAATGGTACAGGAAAAAGATTTCTCACCAGTGTGAATTCTGATGTGTGCATCAAGATTAGATTTCTTTTTGAAAATTTTTCCACAGGACAGACATTCATAAATCTTATGGCCTGTGTGAGTGCTCATGTGAAACATTAAATGTTGTTTTTTTAGAAAGTTTTCTCCACATGTCAAACATGGGAAAGTTTCCTCTTCTTTATCTTCAGCCTCTTGCTTCAGAACAAGCTGCTCTTCCTGCTCACTAATGAGGACCTCCATGGTTTCCTCTTTTGTCCAGGGATGTTCTGGGTTCTGAAGCGCTTCTTTTATCTGCAGAGGTTCTGGTTCCTCTTGGTCCAAACTGGAATTCCTCTCCTGTTCACAGAGCTGCTGGTCAGAGAAATCCTCCTCTTTTCCAAGGTAATCCTGCAGGTGGTCTGTAAAAACAAACACAGCAGAAATACTTTACATTGTAGCTTAAAGAAAGGACACTTCACTTTAATCATACCTGTGTTGATCTAACTAAATATAAACAGACTGGAACTACATCTCCCAGCATGCAGTGCAGCTCTGACACCATAATCACATGTCATAAGACCGGTCAATGTTCTACTGTTGTCTGGCAAAGTTTGGATCTCCACTTTTATCATCAAAGCTTTAGCATCTATCAGAACAGAAGAGCTTCAGATTCTAAACCATCAAAAAAAGTTTAACTAATATTCATCTTTCCAGGCTGAAGATTGACTGCTTGATATAGGCACCATAGATAGATATTTTAATATCTAAATCTCATTTAGGTTTTGAAACTTTTCTGTTTATTTTTTCCATGTCATTTTCAAATCTGCTCATGTTTAGAATTTTTTAGAGTGAAATAAACTTTATGGCTCTAATGTAGCGCCACAGATGTTAATCTATCTTCATGGGAATGACTTCAGATCCAACACCTATGCAGGAACCTCCAGAGATGTAGAACTTGATAACTGCTTGCAACCCAGTCTCATGGGAAAATGTACCCCCACTACGTTGGTCCACACTGCAAAACGTAGTGGAGGTACATTAATG